GTTAGTTTTCAATAATAAAACATTTAAAATGTGTCTATGTGAGGAGGATGAATATAGAGGAAAATGTGGAAGAATTCACTCAACAGACCTATGAGCAACAAGATTTGATACATTCTATTGACAAACTATTGCCAAATACCAACTTTATGTGAGGTACTGGTGAGTATAGCCAAAAAAGAAAGGAAACAAAACCCCCCCTGTCCTTTTGGGGCAGGGAGGTTACATTTAACTTTATCTAGATTCCTATGTTTGAGAGAAATTTAGGGCTTTCACAATACAAATTTAAACAAAATCCTTAACTAACCAAATTGCCCAAAATGTTATTCTTTCACAAGTGGCAATTGGTTATGACAATTTTATGAGCAATCTGAGTATAAATAAGCAACAGTTGGTGTAAACTGAATGAAATCTACCATTAAAAAATCTTGAATAAATTTCTATGCAAAGACTATTAATAAAAATTAGAATGGGAGAATGCTTTATTATCAGACAAAGAACAGGGATTGTGGGCACTTTTCTAGAGAGAAAAGAATGGCTTTCCTTTAAATCACTTAAGTCTTTGCAGGGGAAGAAAGGAATGCAAAAAGAAAATCTTTAAATTTTCAAGTGGTATCTACTAGTCAAGAACCAAGCCAACTAAGAAAGATTAAGACTGCAAGCAAAAAGTGGTAATCAAATTTTAGCACAAGCAAATACAAGTTCCTTTATGTGTATCAGCTGACTAATCTTAAATGTATTAAGTGAAACTCAGATATGACATAGATGGTGCATTCTTAGATGTCATCACAGTCAAAAATCATTAGTTCTGAATACTGCCCTTAACTTATTGTGTACTCTTGAGACATTAAACAAAGCTACATTTAAATTTGGCATACTATAATGTTTCAACTGCTGCAGCTCAAAAAAGAGGCAACAGAACTAAAGAAAGAGAAGATTAAAATGATCACACGAACTGGAGAGAGATATGAGACTAGACCATGACCAACAAAAATACTAAGAGTGTGTTCATTACAACCTTATCTTAAGAGAACTCAAAAGACTTGGAATTAATATAAGAAACAAATGCATCATAAACTTGACTAACCAAACTAATGAACAGAGTTTCTAGGAAAAGCTGGGTCAATTATCTATTCTACGACTGACACTGGGGAGGATGCTCTCCCACAGTACATACTTTGTGGAGGCACTACTGGTTCCAGGGCTTTTTTATATACTTCATTAGATTTATCTTGAGCTTGATCCAGCAAGGCCATTCTTCAATTACTAATCTCAATTACATAAACCTCACTGCATCCAGTGAGCAAAGGATAGATTTATCTAATTAGGTTACATATAAAAGTCATTTCCTGCTGGTAGCCATCCAACCTTCTAAAAAGAGAAAGTAACAATGATAAAAGACAGCTCTGTTGACACTAACTTTTAAAACAAGACCAACTTGACCTTTAGGGGATTTTTTTACTTTTAAATTTGTAAATGTGAAAAAATAAAATAAAGCCACATAAATATTTTTACATAATAAATGCATATTTATTATAAAACTAGATATATGTTGTTACTAGCATCTTTAAATTGAAGCTTGTTATGGTTTAATTTACCGAATGGTGTTCAATTTACTTAGTGGTGGAGACTCATGCTTTTTTAAAGTCTACCATGACATTCCATTATAACCTTGTAAGAAAAATTTTCCCAGTGATGTCAGGGAGTATGAATTTGAAAGTGACTCACATTCAATTTGAGACCACCCCCTTCACCCTAAAAGAATAGGAAAAAAAAAAAAGATAAAAGAGTGAGGCTGTGCAATTGATGCAAGTGTACCAACACAAATAAATATTAAAACCACTTTTGATAAAATAGCAAAGGTAAAAAAGACAATGGTTAGATATGAAGGGTGCAATTTACTTCTCAAAACAGAAATTAGCATCAGATTTCAATTATTCTAATAATGACTCAATGCAAAACACTGAAGTTTGCCTTTATACACACAGAAGACAGAAAGTAGGGTAATAAAAATGAATACTCTGGCTTTCTTATTAAATGATGGCATCTAAATAAAATAATAAGAGTTAGAATGCAAGTGACCTGGGCTTCACCAGTCAACTTAAGGTTACAGCTGTGAATTTTGGCTGTTAAGTAAGGTTTTGCTTTAAAGCACACCAACCAGGCCATAGAGACAAACTATGAAAGACGGAGGGTTCAAAAAGAGAAGTGTAGTCTTGTGGTGAAATCATTACTGAAGTAGAAAAGTAAGCAAACAGGACATCTGTAGCCACATCAAGAATTTCCAGGGCTTCCCTGGTGGCGCAGTGGTTGAGAGTCCCCCTGCCGATGCAGGGGACACGGGATCGTGCCCCGGTCCGGGAAGATCCCACGTGCCGCGGAGCAGCTGGGCCCGTGAGCCATGGCCGCTGAGCCTGCGCGTCCGGAGCCTGTGCTCCGCAACGGGAGAGGCCACAACAGTGAGAGGCCCGCGTACCCCAAAAAAAAAAAAAAAGAATTTCCAGAACTATTTTGATTTGTGATTCCTACCAGCATATTCCAGGGCTACTTAAGGGAAGCCACACTTACATTAGTATTCATCAGTTCACTACTGCCTTAGGAGACAATTTAAATAAAACTGTATTTCTCTCAATCTAAATGTTATACCAAAAAGGCTTCCTCTCTCTTCCCTAACACTATCACTGACCTAAGTTCTGTGTACAAGAAATAACTGGAAAAATATAAACAGAGCAAGAATCAAACAGATTTAAAAGATGAAAAGTAGAAGCAGTGGAGACTGCAAGAAACCAAAATGTATACTGTTTAATATAAACCTATATGCCAATCTGATAAACCAAATCAGATTTATGATCAGAAGAGGTTAAAATAGGAATCAATCTAAACTATGAAGCTTTTCCTTCCAACTAAAAAAAAGGACCTTTTCAAAGACTGTTTTCTTAAAAGGTCCTAATGACAATCCACAAATTGCATAAAGTCTTCCAGGGTCAACTTTTCCACACTCCTTTCAGAATAGCATTCTATAAATAGCTGTGAGCAAAAAATATGGTGAGAAATAAGGTAGAGCTAAATATTTCTAAACAATACGCAATTTTCTTTGATAACAGGTACAACACAGTATTCGTGTTTCTCTGAAAAGAACAGACACCGAAGTGCCATTTTCATAACTTAAAATGAAAATTTCAACTAAACGCCACTACTAGTTTGTCAAAATTTACAGAATATGTTCCAAATCAGTACTTTAGTATTGGAAGGTAAGATTTACTTCAAACTAATTGTACATACACAGACACACCTCTGACATAGTATTTCTGAAGCAAGACACCATTCAAACCACCAAAAATTTAAGTAGACAACTAATGCTAAAATGTGATAAACAAGAACGTTTTACAACTTAAATTTTGTTAGCAAATGAAATATTTCTGCTAAACATTTAATTCTTTCAAAGGGTCATTTGAAAACAATGTTACAATTAAACTAAGCCCAATTCACCGTATTTGAAGCAATGAGTCCAATACAATTAAGATGTACAACAGAATGACTGGGTTTTCTACAATTACATCGTACCTATAAATTGTTCAAATGTTGAGTGTAAAATTTAAATGAATACCAATGTAATAAATACTCTTTGAGAAGAAAAATGCTTCTGATTTATCTCTTAGCTCAAAAGACCTGGCAGAGCCTGACACAGCGCCTGGCAGCTTGTCAACACAAATTAAAAAAACCAACCAACCAAACAGAAACCCCACATTTGAAGCAAAATGTTTATCACGCGATTCACCTTCACTGTTAACAGAACATTAAATACAATAGTAAAATCCACGACCAACTTTTTTCTGCGTATCGATTATATCTTAAAATTTGGTTGTTTCAAAAACAGATTAATAAAACAATACTTACATTTCTATTGAATTTGGTGAAAGAATGGTGCATGTAAAACCTGTGCATATAAACAATCGCAGTGTTTATCGTAAGCTGAGAGCTGGAACGTTAACATTTAGGAAATATCGGAGAAAAACAAGATCTCTTTTCCAAAACAATTTTGAAGGAAAATTCCCGATCTACGGTTCTTTTCCAAGGCCCCCGTTCACTCAAAACCAATCCCCAAACTGTAATAATAAGGAACTAAATACCCACAGGATGATGGCGTGGGGGCTGGCGGATCGGAAAGGCTCCCCACCGAATAAATAGCCGGAATAATAACAAACGCCGAGCATTCCGCTCCAATACTGCTATTAAGCGAGCCCAGGAAGCATTTATCAATGGCTACGACTAAACCCAAAATCAAACAGTTGAAACACGCGCGCGCGCACCCATGCAAAACCATGCCAGGAACATAAAGACGTCCCGTGCGCTCCCAAGGTACAAGTGAACCGCCATCAAACTGGCGAGGAGAGCGGGGAAAGGCTGCAGAGAACACTTACGCCTTTCAGCATCTCTCTCCTAGCTCTCAACCCCTTCTCGGACTAGAAGTAGAAGCAGCCGCCTCTTTTCTGCGATAATCCCTAAGATTTCCCTCTCGCCCGGGCGGCACTGCCATCCCCCGCCGTCACTACGCGCGGCCCCAAACAGATTACACAACGCAGCCTCCCAGCCCGCATTCACCGGACTCCCTTTCTCCTCCCCTCCTCCGCTGCCGGCCGCTCGGAGCCTCCAGAACTCTAGCCTGTCTTCCCTTACGGCGCGGCCGAGGCCCAGGAAAGACCGAGGCGGCGGCGCCATGTTCGCGGGGCACCAGGCCCGGCGACCCGGCGAGTAGTGCGGGGGACAGGGCGTGAGAGGCGCAGGGCCAAAAATAGGAAAGGATACACATTGAGACGCTGTCCCATGTCCTGGATGAGGTTGGCCGCCTGCTGGCGGTACGAGAGCTCTTTATCCGCCTCCACTCCGCAGCGGCGGCTCGGCGTGTTCTCCAGCTGTTCCCGAGTAAAGAACCAGCGAGAAGAAGCTCCACGGCCGGACGCCATGACACTTCCTCCTCCGCCCGCTCCCTCACCCACCCCCCGCCCCTCCCGGCTCGCGGACACCCAGCCAAGGCCGCGCGACCCCGCCCCACTCCGCTCGCCGTAGACCACGCACCACCCTTTTTCACCACCGCCGCCGCCCGTGCGCGTGCGCGGGGGCCGCCCTACCGGCTCGCCCTAGTCTTTTGCTTTCTTTTTCCGGCCCGGGCCTCGCTCTCGCGCACGGGACCACAATGCTCCGCGCCGCTTGTCATTTGGAGGCGCCCAAAGGTGGGGGTAGGCTGGAAGGGAAAGGTCAGCGCGGTGCATGCCGGGCCTAGGATTGGCTGGGAGAAGGGCGGGGAGGAGAGGCGAGAAAAGGCTGGTTTCGGGTCAGGTGGCGAGAGACGCGGGCGGGCGGCTGCGCCGTGGGGCCTGGGCGTGGGCTCTGAAATCCCGGCTGCTTTTTGGGCCGGGAGTCTGGCGGCGGTTTAAAAAAGAGAAGAACTTTCCTCTGTCGCAGTCGCGCGGCACATCCTCCATTTTCCTCTAGCGTCGGTCTGCGCAGTCTCGTAGGTTGCGGACTCCGGAGTCCTCGACGGACAGCCTCCGCCCAGCGGGCGGCCCTCGGAAGGACCTACCTGGGAAAGGGTGCATAAAAAATCTTCCCCCCCCCCCCCCCCCCCCCGCCTACGTTTGTGCCGCACTTTAGTTCTTTTTTCCTACATTATCTTGTTTGAATCCTACGACCACGCAGGCCGTGGGTTTATTTTTTTAATTACTTGCCAAAGGTTATTAGCAACCAGAGGAGCTGAATTTCTAAACTAGGTTTGGAGTCCCTTTCTGTAGTGTGTTTTCAAATCAGTCTGTGATTTGAAAGAGAAGGTTAAAGAGAAGCAGACAGTGTAAAAGGAACTGAGTTAAAAAGTTATTAGTGTTTAATATGGTAATACCGCACATATCTATTGATTAACTCTTTATCCTGTCCCTGCAAGAAATTTTGCAGACTGGGAGTCGGTGGGTCTCTGGCTCTGAGCCAACGCCTAATATGTGTGAATAAAGTTGCTAAGTTTTAAATTTTAGCTATTTGCCAAAGATACAGCGTACAGGAAGACATACTTTTTTGTTTGCATTGTTATATCAGGATTCCTTCTTAAATTAACTTTTTATTGGAGAACAGTTGCTTTACAATGTTGTGTTAGTTTCTGCTGTACAGCAAAGTGAATCAGCTATAAGTATACATATATCCCCTCTTTTTTGGATTTCCTTCCCATTTAGGTCATCACAGAGCACTGAGTAGAGTTCCCTGTGCTCTACAGTAGGTTCTCATTAGTTATGTTTTATACATAGTAGTGTATACATGCAGGAAGTCATACTAAGAAAGGCAATAAATACTACTTTTCATTGAGTTCTTGATTGTATCTCCAGGCTTTTGTCATTGTTTCAGGGCTCCCACGCTGAATGTACTGATATACCTTGGCTCTGCCTGCCGCCGTCAGGCCACAGTGTCGAGCTGCTGATTTGGTAGGCAGCTATCATGAACATTGTCTAACTTCTTACCTACCTTGCCTCACATCTTAGGCTGCTTAGAGGTTCCAGGATAGATTGACTTAAAGCAGCATTTAAAAAGTGGCTACCTCCAACGCTCATTCATGATAAAAGCTCTAACAAACTAGGAATAGAGGAGAACTTCTTCAACTTCATGAAGAACGTTTATAAAAACCTTACAGCTAGCATCATACTTAATGGTGAGAAACTAGAAGTTTTCCTGCTAAGGCATGGATGTCCCCTGTCACTGCTCCTTTCAACGTTGTATTATACGTCCTATAAGAAAAGGAAATCAAAGCTAAGCAGATTGGGAAGAAAGAAATAAAACTAGCTTTGTTCATGGATAACAATTGTTCATGTAGAAGATCTCAGAGTACTAAAAAAAACTGGAACTAGTAAGTGGCTATGGCAGGATTATAATATACAAGAGTGAATTGCTTTCCTGTATACCAGCAACGTATAATTGAAATTTGCGGTTAAAAACATAATACCATTTACAAAAAGTAATACTTAGGTATGATTCTAAAATATGTACAGGATCTGTATACAGAAAACAACAAAACTCTGATTAAGGAAATCAAAGTAGATATAAGTGGAAGGATTTTCTGGGTTCATGGATTCGAAGATTTAATATCATTAGATGTCAGTTCTTCCCAACTTGATCTGTAGATTCAAATGCAATCCCAATAAAAAAATTTAGGAAGTTATTTTATAGATATGTGCAAATCGATTCTAAAGTTTATATGGAAATGTAAAAGACCCAAAATAGCCAACACAATACCAGAGAAGCTGAACTGACTTTATCCGACCTCAAAGCTACAGTACCAAAGACAGCGTTTCCTGGCAAAAGAATAGACACATACATCAGTGGAACAGAATAGGGAGCCTGGGAATAGATCCACACAAACATGGTCAACTGATCTTTGACAAAGGAGCAAAGGTAATTCAATTGAGAAAAGATAGTCTTTTCAACAGATAGTGCTGGAACAACTGGACATGTGTATGGAAAAAAAAGAATCGAGACACATCTCACAACTTTCACAAAAATTAAGTAGATCATATCCCTAAATGTAAAATGCAGAACTTTAAAACCTCTGGAAGATAACAGGAGAAAATGGAGGTGACCTTGTGTGTGGCAATGAGGTTTTTTTTTAAAATTATTATTGGAGTATAGTTGATTCACAGTGCTGTGTTAGCTTCAGGTGTATAGCAAAGTGAATCAGTCATACATATATACACTCTTTTTTTAGATTCTTTTCCCATATAGGCCGTTACAGAATTGAGCAGAGTTCCCTGTGCTGTACAGCAGGTCCCCACTAGTCATCTATTCTATATATAGTAGTATGCATATGTCAATCCCAACTCATCCCTCCCCTACCCCACTTGTCCCCAGGCAACCCTAAGTTTGTTTTCCACATCTGTGACTCTACTTCTGTTATGTAACTAAGGTCACTTGTACCCTTTTCTTAGATTCCACATATAAGCGATATCATATGATATTTGTCTTTCTGTGTCTGACTTAAATTCACTCAGTATGACAATCTCTAGGTCCATCCATGTTGCAGCAAATGGCATTATTTTGTTCTTTTATATTGCTGAGTAATATTCCATTGTTATATATGTACCACGTCTTCTTTATCCATTCTTCTGTTGATGGACATCAGCTTGCTTCCATGTCCTGGCTACTGTAAATAGTGCTGCAATGAACATTGGGGTGCATGTATCTTTTCAAATTATGGTTTTCTCCAGGTATATGCCTAGGAGTGGGATTGCTAGTCATACGGTAGCTCTATTTTTATTTTTTTTAATATTTATTTATTTATTTGGCTGCGGCAGTTCTTAGTTGCGGCACGCCGGATCTTCGTTGCAGCATGCGGAATTCTTCGTTGTGGCGCGGGCTCTTTGTTGCAGTGTGCAGGCTTCACTCTAGTTGTGGTGGGCTCCAGAGTGTGCAGGCTCAGTAGTTGCAGCACGTGGGCTCTCTAATTGTGGCACATAGGCTCTAGAGCGCACAGACTCACTAGTTGCAGTGCGCAGGCTTAGTTGCCCCACACGTGTGGAATCTTAGTTCCCCGACCAGGGATTGAACCCGTGTCCCCTGCATTGGAAGGCAGATTCTTAACCACTGGACCACCAGGGAAGTCCCCAGTAGCTCTATTTTTAGTTTTTTAAGGGAACTCCATACTGTACTCCATAGTGGCTGTACCAGTTTACCTTCCCACCAACGGTGTAGGAGGGTTCCCTTTTCTCCACACCCTCTCCAGCATTTATTGTTTGTAGATTTTTTGATGATGGCCATCACCGTGAGAGGTGATACCTCATTGTAGTTTCGGTTTGCATTTCTCTAATAATTAGTGACGTTGAGCATCTTTTCATGTGCTTTTTTGGCCATCTGTATGTCTTCTTTGGAGAAATGTCTAGTTAGATCTTCCACCCATTTATTTATTTTTGCGGTACGCGGGCCTCTCACCGTGTGGCCTCTCCTGCTGCGGAGCAGAGGCTGCGGACGCGCAGGCCCAGCGGCCATGGTTCATGGGCCCAGCCGCTGCGCGGCATGTGGAGGCACGAACCCGTGTCCCCTGCATCGGCAGGTGGACTCAACCACTGCGCCACCAGGGGAGCCCTTCCACCCATTTTTTGATTGGGTTGTTTGTTTTTCTGATATTGAGTTGTATGAGCTGTTTGCATATTTTGGAGAGTAATCCCTTGTTGGTTGCTTTGTTTGCAACTATTTTCTCCCGTACTGAGGTTGTCTTTTTGTATTGTTTATGGTTTCCATTGCTGTGCAAAAGCTTTTCAGTTTACTTGATCCCATTTGTTTATTTTTGTTTCTATTTGTATTACTCTAGGAGGTGGATCAAAAAAGAGCTTGCTGCGGTTTGTGTTCTGCCTATGTTTTCCTCTAAGAGTTTTATAGTGTCCAGCCTTACATTTAGGTCTTTAATCCACTTTGAGTTTATTTTTGTGTATGGTGTTAGGGAGTGTTCCAGTTTCATTCTCTTACATATAGCTGTCCAGTTTTCCCAGCACCACTTATTGAAGAGACTGTCTTTTCTCCATTGTATATTCTTGCCTCCTTTGTCATAGATGAGGTGACCCTAGGTGCATGGGTTTATCATTGGACTTTCTATCCTGTTCCATTGATCTATATTTCTGTTTTTGTGCCAGTACCATGCTGCTTTTCTTTTTTTCCCAAGGTTTTTTATTTTAATGTGGACCAATTTTTTCTTCTTTTTTTTAATTATAAATTTTTTTAAATTTTTAAAAATGTGGACCATTTTTAAAGTCTTTATTGAATGTGTTACAATGTTGCTTCTGTTTTATGTTTCGGTTTTTTGGCCCCAAGACATGTAGGATCTTAGCTCCCTGACCAGGGATCAAACCCGCATCCCCTTCACTGGAAGGTGAAGTCTTAACCACTGGACTGCCAGGGAAGTCCCTACCATACTTTTTTGATGGCTGTAGTTTTGTAGGTAGTCTGAAGTCAGGGAGCCTGATTCCTCAAACTCCATTTTTCTTTCTCAAAATTGCTTGGGCTATTGGGGATCTTTTGTGTTTCCATACAAATTGTAACATTTTTTGTTCTAATTATTTGAAAAATGCTGTTGGTAATTTGCTAGGGATTGCACTGAATCTGTAGATTGCTTTGGGTAGTAGAGTCATTTTCATAATATCAATTCTTCGAATCCAAGAACATGGTATATCTCCATCTGTGTCATTCTTGGTTTCTTTCATCAGTATCT